CTTGTTTTGTCGCTGTTTTTTCTTAAATTTATCTCCAAGTCTTCCTAGCTGTAGTTTCCTTTATTAACTTCTTTTCAAGAACAATTTTTCGTGGAGTATCAAAAACTTCTTCAGTGTGAGTCAGATATTGGTTCTCATAATTCCAATCGTATATTGGAATGGATGGCGTCCGGATGTCAAAGGCTGAAAGTAAAACAGATAATTACAAGTAACATAATGTTGGACATGATGCACGTTTTATTTATTCCCGACCCATTTGGATTCTGTGGGGGATAATACTAGGATGCTCTACTATCTCTTCGTGGTATTTTTGTGCAGTCATGCTGCTTCCGAGCTTGCGCTTGCTTGCGAGCCCACGAAAGCCGCTGACTATGATTGCCACGTCGCAATGTTGGAACACGTAGCGGTCTTCGAGCATGAAGACCAACTTCATGCAATTTCCTTCGCATAATTTGGTCGCTTACCAGCAGCTGGTGATCCTCCTGGAGTCTGTAGTAGTTGCATCGCTGTGATATTGGGCTGTCTTCTGGCGGTCATTTGGAGAAATCGATCTTGTCTCTTCCTTGTAACACGATATCTACCCGGTGCCGTTGAGCCACATCCCTAGTACTGCGATATTGTGACTTCAACTTTGATATCACGTTTTGGCTGGTTTGTAGTTTCTAACATGCCCACGGCTCGTAACATTTCATGTCGACTCAAATGAGGACGTGACATGACTCTTAAAGCTCACACGGCACCTTAAATTAAAAAATATTTTTTTTTTAATTTTCCGTGACGTAACGAATTACTAACAATTTTGCCGCCGTATCTTGTTTTTTATTTTGTATTTTTTAATTTACGATTTTAAATTTTGAAAATGAATAAAAGAGGGTTACAATCTGTATATAAACTTTTTATGGAAACTAAAAAGATTTTAAATTATTATGTCGTAAATAATTTAGGATTAAGATATCCCTAGTTTCTATTGATGTGGGTATTATCGTTGTAGCACGAATGGGTCGGCTCGACCGGGGTAGGACCACGCGCTCACAGAATACCAACGTAAAATAGCAGCTTATAGTGCTGCTCTATTTTGTATGGTGAGTGTAGAGAACTGGATACCCTTTTTACTTGAAACGAGGCATTCCATCTTAGTCCTCACGGGTGACAACACTTCTGCATTTTGATTCTTAATCTGTGTGCCCGATTGTCAGTCCCGTCCTATAAAAAAATTTTAGAAACAAGTGTTGTTTTGTAGAAATCTATTATATTAAAAATGTGAAAATAATTTTGGTTATGATCCGCGTGCAAAACCGCGAAATTTTTGCATGTAGATCTTACCTTATTAACATTTAATTCATTTCTTGTAAGGTTTTGCCACCCTCGAGTAGTAAGTGCGTGTGTGTCACTTCTGGAGCGCTATGAGCGTAACTCTGCCCACACCAATCATTGCATACTGAAAATGCTGCATCGCATCGCCTGGGACTGCTCGCGTCCCTCCATGATGTTCCAAGCCACTTTGTTCCTGACTTTCCAGAGGATACTCCATAATCCGATGCCGCATTTCAAGGTTTGTACATTAAAAACCACTTTTCCTTTGCTCTCTATTGCGGATTTTTAACTTTCTGTCTCCTGTTATTGTTAATAAAGGGTACGTTCAGTGTTAGAGAAAACATGGACAAGATGTTGACTAAGAAATGCTTAATAACTCTCGTATTTAGATAGAGGTCACAATAACCACCACGAAAATGCCTAAACATCACACTTTGTACTGTTTAGTAACTATCATCGTTATCATCATTACAGCCTAACACCAGTCTACTGCTGAACATAGGCCTCCCTCAAGGTAAGTCACAAAAGATCTGCATATATCGACTTCCTGCATCTCTCACCAGCTCGTCACTCCATCTAGTGGGGGCCCCCTGCACTTCGCTTTTTGGTACGAGGCTGCCATTCGAGAACCTTTTTACCCCAACGGTTGTTAGTTCTCCGAGCTATGGCCGTCATATGGCCACTTCAGTTTATTGATCTCTTGGGCTATGTCGATTACTCAAATTGTGATGTCTATCATACAGAGAAAATCCGAGCATAGTCCTATCCATAGCGATCATAAATGATCATATAATATTTACCAAACTTAGTACTTACAAAAAAATATAGATAAATTTAAAATGATAAATTATTATTACATTTTGTTAACGGAAACTAAAGTATAAAATATACTTTACGAAAATAACGAAATAATATAAGATAAATTTGTTGTTTAAACATAGCCCTTCAGGTTTGAATGGGTTGTTACAAAGTTCGCCGCTCGCAGAATTTCAAATGATCCTCGTGTTTGAACAGGAGTTGGAAAAGTTTGCGCTGTTCATCTTTCGAAAGTTCGCTCAGATCGCGTCGAAAAATCCCAAAGTGTTTATCGAGCTTTTGTTCTGGAAGTCATCGAAGGACTCCATCGAAATAGAACACGGCTACGACCTCTACAGCGACCAAAAGTAAGTACATAAAACTTTAAATTTATGTTAATGGAGGCGGGAGTTATATTGACTTTTTGTTTACTCGTTTGATTCTTTTTAGGGCTGTGCATAATCAATATAAATATATACCTATGGAGTGTTATTAGTATAATAATATATCTAATGGTAAGGTTGCTATGTTATGATGGCGTAAGAAGGTCCAACATCACATTTCGTCCCGTGGGTCTCGTATGAGGTGACTATGGAAAATACCAGTAAGCCCTTTTGGCTTTCGATAGACAATGGTATAAAACATTCTGTTTACGGCAGAGGGGAACAATTCAGGACGGTGACGGGAAGTAGCGTTGAAAGTACGAGACGTCTGGTACTGCGATCGTCAGTCCGCCAGCCGAGCGAGAATACTATTACAAATCCAAGACAAGAGCGTCCAGCAGTGGACTTTTCAAGGCTAACAAAGAAACAGTTATAAGCTTATACAATATTTGGCCAAATACTCAAAAGTTACTCAATTTTAAGATGTCGGTAAAAACTCGTGGTGTCAGTCACTTTGACTTAGTGATAAGGCGGCTCTTCACGTTGGCCAACATAGTGGCGAATGTGTTGGCAAAGATATTAGCCAAGAGTTTGTGATAGCGTCCACACGTTGAAGGTCGTTCAGTTTGGTTCGGTTTAGGCCAATGTGCGGGCGAATTTATTAAAACGGATATTGAGGCGCTAACGGCCGCTGCGGTTTATGTGTTCACAGCATACCGCATACCGGTTCTGTGTGAATGTTTATAAAAAAGGGGTGAAAAAAGAAATTTTATTTCTTCTGTTCCACAAACAATTTTCGGCTTGGTAGAGCTCTATAAAGTGAAAAGTTTCTTCATTGGTCATTGTTACTGCCATTTTGTAGACACAAGTCACGATGCGTGAATATAAAATTTAAATCAGGTGCGTGCGACCACTCTGGAAGCTCGTAGCAAACTAAACGTGCGCCCAACGTAGTAATACCAGATGAGACAAATGATATTACAGTGTTTCATGCTCAAATTTACAGTGTTTACGACAAAATTACAGTAAAAGTAAAAAAAATACAGTGAATTTTACAATAGATTTCAAGAAACTTTTATTATCTTTTATAAACTAAAATACTGTTTTAATTTCACCTTTCGTAATTTAGAATAAGCATAATACCTATATATAATTATACATTAATCAATCACTGTCACTATCATGTAGCCCGATATCCGCTTCTTTTTTGTAGATCTCAGAATTAAATGATTTTATCATTTTCTCAGTTGGTTTAAAATTTAACGCAATTGGTGCTGTGACGCCGAATGGTTTGTTGCGCTAACATGTTGCCTCTTATTGTCCTGGTTATTAATCTATTTCGTTTCTTGGTTTTGGTGTCGTTAATTTGACTGAAACTTCTCTCGCATTCCGCATTGGAGTTAGGAAGAGCCAAGATGTTGAGCATGTAGTTTCCAATCAAGCGGAACTCGTCCAACTGTTTCACCTGAAAAGCAACATTAGTATTAATAATATTGTATTTTGCAAACGAAAGAAATATATGTATTTCTCAAAAAAAATATAGAGTCTTAGTTAATAACCTTGTGCCAGAATTCATCAGGTCCTATTGCAGCATCGAAATTTCCTTTTAACTTTGGCAATTTTCTCCTTTTGTCATCCAAAGCTTGTTGTGCCATCATAGAAGTTGGTGTCAATCTCGGCATTAAGCTTAGTATATTTTGAATTGATTCATCGCGATCTGAGATATCGAGACATGTTTCAGGATCCAATTTGGATATCCCAACCAATACTGGATCATTTAGCTCGAATCTTTTGCGGATGCCTACGCACGCTTTAATCAAAAAATTTCGGCATTTCTTTTTGAAATCCTTTTTTTTTTCTCAGCTGCTATTTCATTTGTTGAAAACTGTTTAGATACTCCCAAGCCCAGGTAGATGTCATCCAAATTTTTGAAATTGTTTTCGTCAGTTGGGTCAATTTTTTCTAGTTCAGTGTTTGCAATATGTGCCGTTGTCATATATGTCTATAAAAGTTCGTGAGAGATCGTTCATTTTAGTGTTAAGTTTTGTGATCATTAGAGTCTCACTCTGAAATAGCGCATTAGTTTCAGTAAATTTAGGTAACATCCAGTTTAAAAAGAAAAAGTATGATTTTGTTATGGGATCATTCAACTGCATATGGATTTCGGAACATTCATTGTCTTCAAGCCATCTTCCATCAAAAACAGTGTTAGTGCATTCCACTGTTCTAAAATTCTTTGCACTACAGTACTACTTAGTGATAACCATCTCGTTTGAGCCGGTTTCAAAATTTTGTGTATATCTGTTTCTGTGAATACTTGAAACTCTTTAAATAGCGATTGTCTTTTGCTACTGGTCGCAAAATAATAGTAAATATCACGTGTTAGCTTTTCACATTCAGCTGGTAACTGTTTGCATGCGTCACTCGCACAAAGATGCAGGGAATGACAAACACATTTAAGAACGATAATTCCGGGACATTTTGCTCTAAATCGACTCGAAACAGAGATCACAAACACCCCATCATAGTATTACACCCGTCTGATCCAAATCCTATAATATTTTCAATAGGAATAGAAGCTTCCTCGAAGGATTTTACTACTGCTTCGAAAAGATGTTGTGCTGTGGCGGTAGCTACCGGAGCAGAGTTTTCCTGGCCATGTATTTGAATTAGGTCCCAAAATCTGCTAACAATTTGACCTTTTAGTGCACAGTAATATCTGACCACAACACACATAGTTTTTACTGCTCCGATATCAGTGCTTTCATCAATCATGACAGATAATTTTTGCTCCTTTAGATCTGCACACAAATCTTGTTTTTCCGATTCTCCTAGAATATTGTTTATTATTGCTTGACATTTTGTTCTCTTCATTTTCATATTTTTTGCAATCTGAGAGTCAGGAAACATAGTGGGCAATAAATCAACTAAGTGGCCCATCACCCTCATGGATATTTTATGCTCTGCCATAAAAGCGGCCAACTTTATCTCAGATGCTTTGCATTTATCGTCATCGGACTGCTTAACCTTTTCAAATGCAGTAGCAATCGAAGATTGAGCTGGCGCTGCTGTAGTTCTTTTTACATGCTTAACACCATCACCATGTCTTTTTATCACTACTCTGTCAGCTATCAATTTTGCATCATACATAACACAAACTGCACGATACGGGTCTTTTGGGTCACGTTTCAGCCAAGTTTTGAAACTATTGTCTTTTAACCACTCGTCTCTGAATTTTTGTTTATAATGTATCTTTTTTGCTTTTTTTGGAGTTGATGGTCCGCTTTGATCACTATCATCAGATGAATTAGGCATTTTAAATTCTCAAGTCCTTAAACAAAATAACCACTTGCACCAGTTTCACAGAAAGACTTGAAAGAGTCAAATAAAAACGTTATGCATTGCATACGAAACTAATTTACAATCATACTAATTTAAGTTAGTCCCAATAGGCTTGAAAACAAAATTAAAACACGGTTGACACAATTTGGGTGGTTAATACTAAGCAGTGGTTTTTAGTCTGACGGGAAATTCCCGCGTAGTATCCACCGCCGCCGCTAATCATGCCCGTTTAAAGTAAGAGATATTCATTCTTATTACAATAGAAACAAAGGTTGTGACATATGCAGAGAGGTGGCGCGGGGTCTAGTAGCCAGTTGCGTTTTTTTATGTTCATGTTATTTTTTCTTTTCACAAAGGCTGCGTTCAGTTTACATTAAACTATTTTGATTTTTGCCTGTAGAAACTTACAGTGCTCTCCATACACTGTAATTTTAGTATTACAGTAGACAGTAGATCATGTGAAAATACAGTAAATCTGCTGTAATTACAGTGTATCTGGCAACGATGGCCCCAACGTGTGGACGCAGCGGCCAAGACTTTGCCACAACCCTTTGATCTTTTGTAAAAAGCCGACACCACATGGACCAACGTCTCGCGCCAACTTGTGGGCCATCATTCCAATACATACCAACGTAAGCACAAACACTAGCTCTAGACGATGGGCATTGGTATTGGTCAACACATTCGCCACTATATTGGCCAACGTGAAGAGCCGCCAATAGCGACAGCACGAGACTTAATGCCGTCTTACAATTCAGTAGCGTTTAAGTATTTGGGCAGTTGTCACTTAAGTGGTCGTTAGTAGTCGTCGTGATCGACGTTGTAAAGCGACCTGCCGTCAATTATCGAATATATTATATAGTCTCATACTGTTCCTTTCATTAAAATTATTATTTAATTTTATTATTAACTAGCGACCAGCTCGGGTTTCCCCTGGGTAGGATTTATTAATGCGGCATTATTTCGATTTAAGACAATCATCAAAAAACTATTTATTTTATAACTTTTTAAAGTTTTTCGGGCTAAATATAGCATAAATCACTCCTAGTATTGCTCTCTGTCTGTTTGTGTAGGTTTATTACAATCGGTTCCGCCATTCCAAAGATTACACTCGACAATTAGACAGACATACAGACAGACAAAAATTTTCAAATCAAATAACCCCCTCAGGTCATTAAAAAGTAGTTATTTAGAGATAGATAGATACTTAAATTTTATTTATATGTATATATAGTTTGAGTACCACGCCAAAGTAACGCTAATATTAAGTTTGAGATAAACATAGAATTATTACGCATAGAAACGCAGTATAGTACAAAACACGAGCGTTAAAATGTTGCAACATCATTATGTTAGAGGGCGCGAGTCGAATGTGCCTACGCTCGTCACACGCACACATACACGCCATTCAGTGATACCAGTTTCTGGCGTTTGCAATCAAATTGAGCAAATCACTATTTTTTGATTAATTTTAAAAAATCGATATAATAAAATTTACGTATTACGTACGAAGATGTATTTTATGAGAATATAAAATGGGATAAAATAAACACGATAATGATGGTACTAATATAACTTTATTATACATATATTAACCGTGTGTACCGTGTAGTGGCGGTCAAGAATATCCACTACCCCATATCCTCCCGTGGGTGTCGTAAAAGGCGACAAAGGGAAACAGGAAGGAGATGGGCAGCAGCATCTTCCTGATAATAGCCAAATTACAATAAAAAAACTGCGGTTGCCAACCCGCTCGCCAAGCGTGGCAACTATGGCAAATACCCCCCCAATGAATAAAGCAACAAACAGACGGCCCCCAGTCCCCGGCGGCCCCGCTATTCCTGGCTACGGTGGCGACCATGGTAACGGCGGGGCAGGGGGTGCTAAGAATCTCCGGTGGAGGTTCGGTTGCCACCTTAGACGACTTGACCTGGCAACGTACAACGCACGCACCCTGAGGACTGACGAGAAGATCGTGGAGCTAGAAGAAGAGATAGACAAGTTGCGCTGGCATATTATAGGATTATCCGAAGTCCGAAGAGAGGGGGAGGATACGGTAATCCTTGAATCCGGCAACTTGCTCTATCACCGGGAGGGCGACCATCTGTCCCAAGGAGGTGTCGGATTTATCGTCCACAAGTCTCTCGTTAACAACGTTGTAAAGATCGGGAGTGTGTCGACGAGGGTTGCGTACCTTATACTCAGAATCACCAAACGGTATTCGCTGAAGGTCATGCAGGTTTACGCACCAACCTCGGCACACCCCGATGAGGATGTGGAGGAAATGTATGAGGATATCTCTAGAGCCATGCATTCCTCCAAAACCCAATATACGGTGTTAATGGGAGACTTCAATGCAAAACTAGGCACAAGAGAGAACGGTGAGCTGAAAGTAGGGAAATTTGGAATAGGGCAACGGAACCCAAGGGGCCAGCAGCTGGCCGACTTCATGGAGAAAAAGGGACTCTTTATGATGAACTCTTTCTTCCAGAAGCGGCCCCACAGGAAGTGGACCTGGTCGAGCCCCGACGGTTCCACAAAAAATGAGATTGACTTCATTATGACGACTAGACGACAACTGTTCAGTGATGTCTCAGTGATCGCGAGGGTGAAAACCGGCAGCGATCACCGAATGGTTAGAGGCACACTGAACCTAAACGTTAAGTTGGAGAGGTCTCGTCTAATGAAGTCAACGCTCCGTCCCCCTCGTGCTCTGTTCCAAAGTCCCTAAACCTTTCAGCTCGAGTTACAAAACCGTTTTCAGTGCCTGGAAGACTGCAATGAAGTGGACGATATGAAGGACAAGCTCGTGGAAACTGTCCATGCGGTCGGAGCTAAGTTCTGCAAGACCCGCCGCAGAAGAACACAAAAACTCTCCGATCACACTCTTAATCTCATGGCTGTTAGACGGGAGATGAAGCTACATTCTTCAACAGACTTGACAGCATACAGGCATCTGAACAGACAGATCTCCAAATGCATGCGGCGGGAATTACGCAACTTCAATACAGCTCGTATTGAAGAAGCGATCGAGCGGAACCAAGGCTCCAAAGTCTTTGCCAGAGATCTGTCTGCCAGAAAGAGCCAACTGTCAAAGCTGAAGACAGAATGTGGCAGCATCGTTTCCGGGTCACCTGAGATTTTGAGTGAGATTGAGAGGTTCTATGGGCAGCTGTACACATCATCGTTAGAGCCACACGCAAGTGTGAGTAACGATCCAAGAGCGAGTCTCATCCGACACTATTCCGAAGATATCCCGGATGTCAGTCTGAGCGAGATTAGAATGGCTCTCCAGCACCTTAAAAACGGTAAGGCCCCAGGCGAGGATGAAATTACAGCGGAGCTTCTGAAAGCGGGTGGAAGACCGGTACTTGAAGTCCTTCAGAAGCTCTTTAATTCCGTCCTCCATGGTGGCATTACACCGGAGGCGTGGAGCAGAAGTGCGGTGGTCTTGTTCTTTAAGAAAGGTGACAACGCTCTCTTGAAGAACTACAGACCAATTGCCCTTCTGAGCCGCGTCTACGTGCTGTTTTCGAGAGTCATTACGAATCGTCTCTCGCGCAGACTTGACGACTTCCAGCCTCCCGAACAAGCCGGTTTCCGAAAGGGCTTTAGCACCATAGACCACATATATACCCTTCGGCATATTGTACAGAAGTCCGAAGAGTACAATTTGCCACTATGTCTGGCGTATGTGGACTATGAGAAAGCCTTTGATTCCGTCGAAATTTGGGCGGTGCTGCAGTCCCTTCAGCGGTGCCAAGTTGACTGTCGGTATATCGAAGTGTTGAAGTGCTTGTACAGTAGGGCTACGATGGCTATCCGAGTACAGAACCAGAGTACGAAACCTATCCAATTGGAGAGGGGTATAAGACAGGGTGACGTCATATCCCCGAAACTCTTCACCGCTGCATTGGAAGACGTTTTCAAGTTTCTGGACTGGAAAGGATAGGGTATCAACATCAATGGCAAGTACATCACTCACCCTCGATTTGCCGACGATATAGTCCTTATGGCAGAATCGCTGGAGGACCTAAGCACTATGCTCAATGACCTCAATAGTGTTTCCCAACGGATAGGTCTTAAGATGAACATGGACAAAACAAAGATCATGTTTAATGTCCATGTCACACCTATGCCGGTAGTTGTTGGGAGCACTAAGCTCGAAGTTGTTGACGAGTATGTTTACCTGGGACAGATAGTCCGACTAGGTAAGTCCAACTTCGACCGAGAGGTCAATCGACGGATTCAACTCGGCTGGGCAGCGTTCGGGAAGCTACGACACTTCTTCTCGTCAGACATACCTCAAAACCTTAAAACGAAATTGTACAACCAGTGCGTGTTGCCAGTGATGACTTACGGAACTGAGACGTGGTCCTTCACTGCTGGCCGTATGAGGAAGCTCAAGGTCGCTCAGCGAGCTATGGAGAGGCCTATGCTCGGAGTTTCTCTGCGTGATAAACTTAGGGATGAGGATATCCGCAGTAGAACCAGAGTAACCGACATAGCTCAACGGATTAGTAAGCTGAAGTGGCAGTGGGCCGGCCATATAGCTCGAAGAACCGACAACCGATGGGAAAGAAAGGTTCTCGAGTGGCAGCCTCGTACCGGTAGGCGAAGTGTAGGGCGTCCCCCCACGAGATGGAGTGACGACCTGGTAAGACATGCAGGAAGTCGATGGATGCAGGTGGCTCAGGACCGTGCTTTGTGGCATTCTTTGGGGGAGGCCTATGTTCAGCAGTGGACTTGTGAAGGGCTGTAATGATGATGATGATGATACATATATTAATGGTACAAAAATGCAGACGTAAGAAAATTTAAGAATATTATTAAACACAATTAATTTGCTCGAATATAATAAGCACATCGTGTAATGTTTAATTTTAACCGACTTCAAAAAGGGAGGAGGTTATCAATTCGGTGTATTTTTTAATGTTTTTTACTTCAGAATTCTACAATTTCTAAACCGATTT